AATAAAAACGACACAATCATATCAATAGATGTTGAAAAAGCATTCGACAAAATCCAGCATGCATGTCTGATGAAAACACTCCACAACGTGGGAATAGAGGGATCATATCTCGATATAATAAGGGCCATACATGAAAGACCTACAACCAATATCATACTCAATGGGCAAAAAACTAAAAGCATTTCCCTTAAAAACAGGAACAAGACAGAAATGCCCATTTTCACGACTCTTATTTAACATAGTACTGGAAGTCTTAGCCACAGCAATCAGACATAAAGAAAAAATAAAAGAAATCCAAATTAAAAAGGAGGAAGTAAAACTGTCATTATTCGCAGATGACATGATATTATATAGAAAATTCTAAAGACTCCATCAAAAATTTACTAGACTCAAATGAATCTGGAAAAGTAGCAGGGTACAAAATTAATGTCAAGAAGTCGATGGTATTCTTATACACCAATGATGAACTCACAGAAAGAGAAACTAAGAAAACAATCCCGTTGAAAAAAAATTAAGATACCTAGGAATAAACTTAACCAAAGAAGTAAAAGACCTATTTACAGAAAACTACAGGACACTGAAAAAAAAAAAAAAAATAGAGAAAGATATAAAAAAAGTGGAATCACACACCTTGTTCACGCATTGAAAAAAGTAATATCAATAAAATGTCCATATTACCCACAGCAATTTATAGATTCGATGCAATCCCCATCAAAATACCAATGAAATTTTTCACAGAACTAGAACAAATACTCCAAAAGTCCATATTAAACCAAAAAAGACCCTGAATAGCCACAGCAATCTTGAAAATGAAGGATAAAGTAGGTGAGATCACAATAATGGATATCAGGTTATACTACAAAGCTACTGCAATCAAAACAGCCTGGTACTAGCACAACAATAGGCATATAGACCAGTGGAACAAAACAGAGAACTCAGAAATTGAACCAAGACATTATGCTCAATTAATATTTGACAAAGATGGCAAAAGCATACAATAGAGTAAAGACAGCCTCTTTAATAAATGGTGTTGGGAAAATTGAACAGCTACATGCAAAAAAATGAAACTAGACCATCAACTTACACCATACACAAGAATAAACTCAAAATGGATAAAAGACTTAAATGTGACTCTTGAATCCATAAAAATCCTAGAAGAAATTGTAGGCAACAAAATTTCAGACATCATACGCAGCAGAATTTTCAGTGATATGTCACCTAAGGCAAGAGAAACGAAGGAAAAAATGCGCACATGGGACTACATCAAACTAAAAGGCTTCTGCACAGTAAAAAAAACAACCATCAAAATGGAAAGGGAACCCACTGTATGGGAGAGCATAATTACTAAGGATACATCAGATAAGGGCTTAATTTCCAAAATATATAGAGTGTTCATACAACTCAACAAAAGGAAGACAAAGAATCCTATTGAAAAATGGGCAGAGGAACTAAATAGACACCTCTCCAAACAGGACATTCAAATGGCTAAGAGACATATGAAGAAATGCTCAACATCACTAATCATTACAGAGATGCAAATTAAAACAATTGCATTAAAACAATGCAAATTCTCACACCTGTCAGAATGGCTGCCATCAACAAATAAGCAAACAACAAGTGTTGGCGAGCATGTGGAGAAAAGGGGACTCTAGTACACTGCTGATAGGAATGCAGACTGGTGCAGCCACTATGGAAAACACTATGGGGTTACCTCAAAAAATTAAGAACTGAATTGCCATTTGACCCAGTGATCCCACTTCTAGGAATATATCCTAAGAAACCTAAAACACCAATCAGAAAAAATATATGTACCCCCATGTTCACAGCAGCACTATTTCCAATAGCTAAGATCTGAAAACAGCCCAAGTGTCCATCAGTAGATGAATGGATAAAAAAGCTGAGGTACATATACACAATGGAATACAGTGCAGCTGTAAGAAAGAAAGATCGCGCCCTGGTCAATTTGGCTCAGTGGTTAAAGCGTCAGCCTGCGGCCCCGAGAGACCCGGGTTTGGTTCCCTCTAAGGGCATGTACCTCGGTTGTAGTATGTCCCCGGCCCTGGTTGGATCGTGTGGGTGGTAACCACTAGATGTGTCCCATTCACATCGATGTTTCTCTCTCTCTCTCTCAACCTCTCTCCCTCCCTCTCTATCTGAACCAAAAAAAAAGAAAAAAAAAAAATGTCCTCGGGTAAGGATAAAAAAAAAGAAAGGTCTGTTATCCTTTGAGATAACATGGAGGGTCCTGGACAGTATTATCTTAAGCAAAACAAGCCAAGCAGAGAAAGACAAGTATCACATGATCTCAGTTATTTCTGGAATATAATGAACATAACAGTCTGAGGAACAGGGTAGATCCAGAGACATGGAAGGAGGGTACAGACTGACAACCCTCAGAAGACGGGGGGGTGAAGGGAGAGATAAACCACAGAACTTACATGCATGTACACATAACCGACGGACACAGACAACGAAGCTGGGGATGGGGTTGGGGAGATGGGGATGAGGGTGTCAATGGGGAAAAAAGGAGAAACATCTGTAACAAAAATAAATTTAAAAAAAAAGCAATCACAGGATCATATCAATAGATGCTGAAAAGGCATTCGACAAAATACAACATCCATTTCTGATAAAAACACTCAGCAATGTGGAACTAAAGGGATCGTATCTCCACATACTAAAGGCCATATATGAAAAACCTACAGCCAACATCATACTTGATGGGCAAAAACTAAAAGCATTTCCCTTAAGAACAGGAACAAGACAGGGATGCCCACTTTTGCCACTCTTATTTAACACAGTACTGAAAGTGTTAGCCATAGTAATTAGACAAGAAGAAAAAATAAAAGGGATTCTATAGAAAAGGAGGAAGTGAAATTGTCATTATTTGCAAATGACATGATATTGTACATAGAAGACCCTAAAGAGCCCATCAAAAATCTACTAGACCTAATAAATGAATTTGGCAAAGTAGCAGAATACATAATTAACATGAAGAAATTGACAGCATTCTTATAGACCAATAATGGACTCAGAGAAAGAGAAACTAAAACAACAATACCATTTACCATCACAGCAAAAAAATGAAGTTACGTAGGAGTAAACTTAACCAAAGAAATAAAGGGCCTGTTCACAGAAAACTACATTGAAAAAAAAATAGAGGAAGATATAAAAAAAGTGAAAGCATATACCTTGTTCATGGATTAGAAGAATTAACATCATTAAAATGTCCATACTACCCAAAGTAATCTACAGATTCAATGCAATCCCCATTAAAATACCAATGACATAGTTCACAGAACTAGAACAAATATTTCAAAACTTTATATGGAACCAAAATACACCCTGAAGAGCCACAGCAATCTTGAAAAAGAATAACAATGTAGGAGGGATCACAATACCAGATATCAGGTTATACTACAAAGCCACTGTAATCAAAGCAGCCTGGTGCTGGAAGAAGAACAGGCATATAGATCAATGGAACAGAGCAGAGAACCCAGAAATGGACCCAAGACAATATGCTCAATTAATACTTGACAAAGATGGAAAGAGCATTCAATGGAGTATAGACAGCCTATTTAATAAATGGTATTGGGAAAACTGGATAGCTGCATGCAAAAAAATAAAACTAGACCACAAACGTACACTATACACAAGAATAAACGCAAAATGAATAAAAGACTTAAATGTGACTTGTGAATCCATAAAAATCCTAGAAGAAAATGTAGGCAGCAAAATTTCAGACATCACATGCAACAGAATTTTCACTGATACAACACCTAAGGCAAGAGAAACAAAGGAAAAAATTAATAAATGGGACTACATCAAACTTAAAAGCTTCTACACAGCAAAAGAAACAAGCATCAAAATGGAAAGGGAACCCATTATATGGGAGAGCATAACTGCCAACAATACATCAGATAAGGGGTTAATTTCCAAAATATATAGAGTATTCAACAAAAGGAAGACAAAGAACCCAATTAAAACATGGGGCAGATGACCTAAGTAGACACCTCTCCAAATAGAACATACAAATGGCCAAGAGATATATAAAAAAATGCTCAAAATCACTAATCATCAGAGAGATGCAAATTAAAACAACTATGAGGTATTACCTCACACCTGCCAGAATGGCTGCCATCAACAAATCCTCAAACAACAAGTGCTGACAAGGGTGAAGAGAAAAGGGGACTCTAGTGGGAATGCAGACTGGTGCAGCCACTATGGAAAACCATACGGTGTTTTCTCAAAAAATTAAGAACTGCCATTTGACGCAGTGATCCTACATCTAGGAATATATCCTAAGAAGCCTGAAACACCAATCAGAAAGAATATATGTATCCCTATGTTCATACCAGCACTATTTACAATTGCGAAGTTCTGGAAACAGCCCAAGTGTCCATCAATAGATGAGTAGATAAAAAAGCTGTGGTACATATACACCAAGGAATACTACACAGCTGTAAGAAAGAAAGACATTTTATCCTTTGAGACAACATGAAGGGACCTGGAGAGTATTGTACTAAGCAAATAAGCCAATCAGAGAAAGACAAATATCACATGATCTCACTTATTTATGGAATACTATAATGAACAAAATAAGCTGATGACAAAATAGACCCAGAGATGCAGAAGTACAGATCAGACTGACAAACCTCGGGTTGGGGATATATACCAAAGAACTTATATGCATATATGCATAAGCAATGGACATCGACAACAATACTGTGGGTGGAGGGGGCGGGATCAGGAAAAGGGTGTCAAAGGGGGAAAAAGAAGAAACATCTGTAACAAAAATGAATTAATTAAGAAAAAAGAATACAATACAGTTGTTTTAATATGCAAACAAAAACATAAAAAGTATATATCAAAAGAAATGTGACAATTCATAGATAGAAGTAGATATGAAAACAGAATGTTCATTCATAGAATGTATATATTCCAAGTAAATTCATATACCATAACTGCCCCCAAAATATAAAGACATTTTAAAAGTGTACCTTAAAAATTATTTCTTTTAGTCCGTCAGAGTACTTCTGATTTAAGAGCAAGGCATAAAGTATGTCAGCATTTCCTGGTTCAAACAGCAGTAAGAAAAGCTGACCTCTAGTTGGGCTGGTACGCAGAAGACTAAAGAGTATATCCAAAATTCCAAAGAGCTTTTAAAAATAACACAAAACAAATAACTACACTCAGATATGGAAGCCAAATAAAATCATAAACCATAAACAATTATTTAACTAACTACATACCCTAACATTCTAGCTTAACAGAACTATCTAATGTCTTCTGAATCCTGCCTTTTAATTCATTATGCTTTTGGTTTATTCCATTTCCTTTTGTGTATCTTCTCACTACCATATTTACCTGCTGAACCACATCTATCCTGCTTTGTTCATATGAAAAGTAATCTCGCCCTGGCCAGTTTGGCTCAGTAGTTGGAGCGTTGGCCTGCAGACCAGAGTCCTGGGTTTGGTTTCTGCTAGGAGCACGTACCAAAAAAAAGAAGAAAAAAAAAGAAAAGCAATCTCTTCCATAAAGCCTTTCCCGGTCTCTTCAACATGCAATATTCTCCTATGAAAACCTCATAGGTCTTTGTAGCTCTCTTACAGATATTATCATACTCTTTCTTATTGTTTTATAATCATTTATAAACCTTTCTTATTCACCCCTGCCTCCATTAGGCTAAAACTAAAAATGATAATTGATTCATCATAATAAACTTACAGTGGCTGATATTGTTCTATAATATAGTTAAGTTTTCAATAATTCTTTGAATTGACCAAGAAAATATCATTAGCAATTAATCACAGCAGGTGACAATAGAGCTATCATAAAATAAGATGGCTACTCATTATTCTAAATAATGAGAAACTTTTGAAGTAGTCCAACCATATAGGGAAACTGCCAAAATTAACTTATCTATATAATACCAATTATAAAATCATGTAACCATCAAGTAAACAATGAATATTTCATGATACAGGGAAAAATATTTATGTTAACATAAATTAAAGCTGCTCAAATTTAGTGTTGAAAGTGATATACAGAAAGAGCACAGAAACAGCAATAAATACACTCGGTTTTTCTAGTTCCAGGTTTATCAGCTGTGTGACTTTTTAAGTCACCTAATCTCTCTGAATATATATTTCCAATGTACAAATGGGAAGGGTAATTTCTGGTCTGTATACTTTATACCAGTTGTTCTCAAATTCTACCATGCACCATAACCACCTGGAGAGATTGATTCAGCAGTATATTTTCATTTCTAAAAAGTTCCCAGGTAAAGATGGTCAGGAACTATATACAGTGAGAACCACTGTGTTAAAAAGTAGTTCTGGGGGAGAGAGATAAACCACAGAACTTTATATGCATGTGTGCATGAACAATGGGCATGGACAACAAAGCTGGGGACAGGGCGAGGAGGGAGAGGGAGGCGGGAATCAGTGGGGGAAAAAGAAGAAACATCTGTAACAAAAATAAATTAATTTTTTAAAAAGGGAGCAAAAAAAATAAAGTTAGTAAAAATAAAAAATAAAAAAAGTAGTTCTGAGCTATAAATAATGTATATAAAAGTATTTAAAAATAGAAATACATTTACAATTTACTTTATGTAAAATTTTTATGAACCTATGTTATGTTAAAATTCATGTTAGAAATCTGCCCAGTAACTCTGATGATAGGTAAATATACATTATGTGACCTAATAAATAGGCTCAGAATTGTCAGACAAAATAGGTATTTCCACATTCTACTTTCAGGTACATTAAAATATGTTATTACACTTCCATCTAGTTTATTAAACTTTCAGTTAGGAGATAAATTTTACTTCTTTAACTGCAGAATATTGTATGTGACACTATAAACATTTTACTCTTAAAATATGTTTATTATACTTGTATAAGTTTAAAAGATGATATAGCAACTTAAATGTTAAAAAGAAAAATTAGATTATCTTGGGCATAATACCTGTTCTTCTTCATTAATAGCAGCTATGTAACCCATAATACTTTGTATCTCTTCATGAGTTCCACCTTTGCACAGAAAATATTTAATTAGTCCATATAAAGAAGTCCTTATTGTTCGAATATCATCTAGAGACAGCTCACTATATTTATAATCACTCCTGAAAGAGAAAGTAAAAGTGCAAGAATTGAAATTTAAAAATTTTTATGTGTGTATTTTTATATTTTTAATCCATAATTTAAAAAATATATTTCCATGTAACTATTAGAATTCATAATATAATATTATTAACCAATGCTACCCCAATACATTTAATTTAAGAAAAAAGAATTCATACTATCTTTGGCTTCTTTTTCTAAATAGGGAACCTTTTGAAGTTAGGAGTTTCAATGACAAATATATAAATGAATATCTTATGTAACACTCACTATGTGGCAGACACAGTTGTCAGTGCTTTATATATTATTAACCCATTTAATTTAATCCTCAACACAACAATAGGATGTCTCAGTTTTATTATATCCTTGTTACAGAACAGAAAACTTAAGCAGAAAAGTTGAGTAAGTTGCCTACGGTTAGTCAATTAATGAAACACAAAACTCAAAACCAAAGTACAGTATATGACCCATTGTCCATCATTTTGAACCCACACTATCCTGCTTCTCTGAAGTTAAAAATATATTAGAATTGGTGGAAAATAAACAATCTATACATCCCAATCAAGAAGCAGGCAGAAAATATCAAACTGAGTAGGTGTAAGGACATCATACCCATAATAAATCCTAAGTGTATCTAGGAGAAACTGCACACCATACTTCTTTCGGAAAACTCTCCTGCTGTCTTTGATGATGGTGGAAAGATACTGTATATGACCTAAAACAGAAAGTTCACTCTTAAATGATATACCTAATGTAAAGTCACATATGCAGTTATAAATTTCTAAAACAATTATAAAATTTTATCTAACAGTCTGTTCTCACCGATTCGAAAGGGAAAATCTCCACGGTTCCAAATACGAAAGTCAAAAAGTAAATATTGATACATTTGTTGCAGGAGCTGCGTATTTTTCTCTAATGATACCTGTTCAATTAGTAATTGAATTGCCATCAATACATTAACATCCATCAAGGTGCTTGGCATCTGAAATCCAAACAGAAAAGGGGTCTGTAAAGTTCTGTTTAAATAACTGTTACTCAGATATAATTTCAGAACATCTATTAAATAAAAATCTTGATTAGAAAAATGTAAACAACTTAAAATATTAATTTTTCTGAAGTAATGCTAGAACATATTTTCTAGCATTGATCAAATATCCCAAATAACAAAGTTAACAAACAAGGTCCTTTTATGTAAGATAAGTAATTTTTTGTTGTTGTTTGGAGATAAGTAATTTTTGTATAAGGTGATTCAGTAGTTCTTAAAATCTACTTGTGAAATAAATTATATCCCTAATATAACAAGCTATTAGTGTAATTAAAATATATATTTACTTATTAAGAAGAAAAACCTCCAAAATTAACTACATTACAATCATCAGCCACATCTACATAATGTTAGACTAGCTCACCTTCTGAAGTAAGGCACCAAGAGTGGCAACTCCATGGGAGTGAATAAGATTGTCCTGGTTAATAGGATGTCTTTGAATAAAGTGTTTCACAATCAAGATAAATGTTGCAACTAAACTTCTCTCTAGTCTTGACTCTGTGGAATTGTGAACATGTCATTAATTATCATAATTATTCTAATCATTTACATATCATATTTTCTGTATCATAATGAATATTGTAACACATGAAGAATCTGGTTAAGACATTTGCCTCCAAAGGTCACTTATAGAACACAAATATCAGAGAAAGTAGCAACTGCATATTGTATACTTACATGCACATGTAAATATTTTCTCTACCATAAATTTAACAATGTTGTCATATTTCCACTAAGAGTACAAACTAAAGATAAGAGTAAAATCAACCCCTTAAGTTTTTTGACAAAAGTATTATGAACTTTCTGAACTACATCAGTAAAATTAGGGATGGGCTGCTTCAGCTACAAATAGTTCAGTTTCTTCCTAATGGTAGCAAGACATTTTAATCTCTTTTTCAATTCATTCTCTAAATTTTTTAATGCCTCTTTTGTATTAATTTTATCTTAATACCTGATGTCTTTGTGGAGGTGGATACCACCCAATCTCCTTCTACAGGTGTTTTCCATTCAGAAACTGTTGTTTCGTTCATTCCTTCTGGAATCTGTTCTTCACTGAAGTGGCTAATTTGTTCCAATAGAGGAAAGAATACATTTAATCCACCTATGCAGTTTATGATGTCCTGAAAAAGAAAATTATAATTATTAATCTTTAAAACAAGGGCAATTTTGTCATTTAATATCTACACAGCATGTATGAGGTTACAGTTTATGAAATCTTTAGGCAATATATGGTATAGTCTAAGCTAAAGAAACCCCTTGTATGGGCATATGCTTTAAAGAGCAGCCTAGGGAGTCACCATAGTCAATATTCAACAGAGACTAAGCCAGACCATTTTTACTGCACCTTTTTTTCCCAAAGTTCAGGAATTCCACAATAGGCAATCTAAACATGATCCCATAACTTGACTTTATAATGTAACACCAATGATTAAGAGGAAACTGTCACAAGGCAATTAGGCATAATGAATAGGAGAACAAATCACAAATATATATATATGTATATATATATATTTGGCAAGATAAATATATATACACATATATATTTGGCAAGAGAAATATGATTAACTCTTCTACTTTTAGTTAACAAAAAAGGTGAAGTGGGTGGCTTCAACCAAAGTTCAAAGTGAATATTTTGGATAGCTTAACAAAATATATTCAATATCCTTTGACAAGTTACTAATTTCTCTGTCTTAATTTCTTCATCTCTAAAAAGAGGATGATATTAATTCCCACTTTGTAAAGTTGTTACAAGGATTAAGAAAGCTAATATAGCCCTGGCCGGTTTGGCTCAGCAGTTAGAGCATCGGCCAGCGGTCCAGAGAGACCCGGGTTCGGTTCCCGCTGAGGGCGCATACCTTGGTTGCAGTTTGTCCCCGGCTCTGGTTGGTCGTGCGGGTGGCAGCCACTCGATGTATCCCTTTCACGTCGATGTTCCTCTCTCTCTCTCTTCCTCTCTCTCCCTCCCACTCTGAACAAAAAATGGAAAAATGTCCTTGGGTGAGGATTAAAAAAAAAGAAAGCTAATATATTAAAAGTGCTTGGTACATGCCCGGCCAGTGTGGTCCAGTGATTGAGCGTCAGCCCATCCACCAAGAGGTCACCAGTTCGATTCCTGGTCAGGGCACATGCTTAGGTTGTGGGCTTGATACCCAATGGGGAGCATAAAGGACGTAGCCAATCTATGTTCTCTCTCATTGATGTTTCTATCTCTCTTTCCCTCTCCCTTCCTCTCTCTCTAAAATCAATAAAGAAAAAAAAAATTTTTTTAAAGTGCTTGGTGCCTGACATATAGTGAGTCTACATAACGTTATCTATTATTAACTGCTAAAATGTTCTAAACTGCCAGGTAAACCAAGCTTAAGTTTGTAGACAACCTCTTCATATTTACAAGCCTTATAAAATCAATCTTACAAGTGATAGCAAAAGTTAATTTATAAATTGGTAAACACATCAGACATCTTACTATGCTAACATATAAGAAGTGTTCTTAAATAAAAGAGAAAAAAGATTTATACCACATAAATAACATGAAATTATCCTCATGATTTGCTCCATTAAAAGAATAAGCATATTCCATTGGTGTTATAGTGGCTAAAAGGGGTTGAAATCTGCCACATAGTTTTAGGAATTAAATATCTTAACAGTGGAGCAATTAACTGAGACAGTATATTTTTCTCATGAAAATTGTTAAGCTGATGGCACAGTTTAAAAACTAAATTTCAAGCAAATCAGTCATTCAACTACTTATCTGTTCACCTTCAAACTGTATATCTTGCCTACAAACATTTTAACGGTGACATACTATTTAAATAAATCTGGTGGTGTTTAAAAGATAAACCTTTCTAAAGGATCAGTAAACATACATAATATGTTGCCTGCCATTTATCATTAACTTACCTTAATGTCCCAGTTCACTACTTTGTTTCCTGTTAATCTTCCATGCAAACAATTAGTAGATAAATCAAGACAGATTGAATTTTTGCAGGCCTAAGAATTAAAAAACAAAACAAAAACATATGGCAAACAGCTAAGCACAATGAAGACAAAAGATAATTTTAATTATAGATGGAACATTTCACCATAATTTTTAAAAGTACATAGTATACTCTATGATAAGATGCCTAAAATATTAAGTTAGTATTACTATTTTCTGATTATATCCTCAAAGAATCAAGGACTAAAGTCTAAAGTATTCATCACGCCCTGGACGGTTTGGCTCAGCAGTTAGTGTCGGCCCGCGGACCAGAGAGTCACGGGTTCGATTCTGTTCAAGGGCACATACTTCAGTTTCAGTTCGTCCACAACCCTGGTCAGGGTCATGCAGGAGGCAACCAGTGAAAGTGTCCCTCTCATGTTGATGTTTTTCTCTCTCTCTCTCTCTCCCTCTCACTATATCTGAAGATAAAATGGAAAAATATCCTCAGTGAGGATTAAAAAAATAAAAATAAAAAAATAAAGTACTCATCAAATGCAGGTCACTGCTGCTTGTCATCTGACAGATGAGCTATAGCTAGAATTTACCACTCACCAACCACATAGTTTTAAATATTTCTTTTCTATTAAACTAATGTATGCAAGATTTTTTAACTTTTTTAAAAATTCAGTATTTTATTCCCATTAGTACTTCCCTAGGAACAATTTCATGATACACATAAAAAGTATGACTAATCCCTGGCCAGTTTGGCTCAGTGGTTTGAGAATCGGCCCACAGACCAAAGAGTCCAGGTTCGATTCCAATCACGAGCATGTACTTCGGTTGCAGTTTGGTCCCCAGCTCTCATCAGGGTCATGCAGGAGGCAATATATCAATGTGTCTCTCTTACATCCATGTTTCTCTCTCTCCCTTCTACTCTGTCTGAGGATAAATGGAAAAACGTCCTCGGGTGAGGATTTAAAAAAAAAAGTGACTAAAACCAGATTAAGACACTACAAAGAAAATTACAGGACAATAACCCTAATGAACATAGATGTTAAAATTCTCAACAAAATATTAGCAAATCGAATGCAGCAATACATTAAAAAGATCATACACTATGACCAAGTTGGATTTATCCCCAAGATACAAAGCTAGTACAATATTCGCAAATCAATAAACATGATACAAACCAAAATGAAGGATAAAATCACATGAGCCTATCAACAGATGCAGAAAAAAAAGCATTAGACAAAATCCAGTGCCCATTTTTGACAAAAATTCTCAGCAAAGCTGGAATGAGATTATACCTCAAGTAAAGGCCATATATGACAAACCTACAGCCAACATCATACTCAATAGGAAAAATCTAAAAGCATTTCCCTTAAGAACAGAAACAAGATAGGGATATCTGCTTTCACCAGTCTTATTCAACACACTACTGAAAGACCTAGTCACAGCAATCAGACAAGAAAAAATCAAAGGCATCCAAATTGGAAAAGAGGAATTGAAACGGTCATTATGTGCAGATGACATGATATTATACATAGAAAAACCTAGACTCTACCAAAAAATAGTAGAATTAATAAATGAATTTGGCAAAGTAGTAGGATACAAAAATCAACATCCAGAAATCAATGACATTTTTATACACCAATAATGAACCTGCAGAAAATAAAATTAAATTAAAAATCCCATTTACCATTGCAACAAAAAAATAAGATACTTGAAATAAACTTAATCAAGGAGGTAAAAGACTAAAGGACTGGAAAAAGAAATAGAGTAAGAGTCCTGGCTGGTTTGGCTCAGCAGTTAGAGCACTGGCCTGCGGACCAGAGAGTCCTGGGTTCAGTTCCCGCTAAGGGCATGTACCTCGGTTGCAGTTAGTCCTCGGCCCTGGTTGGGGTCATGTGGGTGGCAACCACTCTCGATGTGTCTCTCTCACATCGATGCTTCTTCTCTCTATCCCTCCCACTCTGCCTCCCGCTCTATCTGAAGAAAAAAAAAAAAAATAGAGGAAGATACAAACAACTGGAAGCATATACCAGATTCATGGATTGGAAGAATTAACATCATAAAATGTCCTTACTCCCCAAAGCAATCGACAGATTGAATGCAATTCTTATTAAACTACCAGCAACACTCAGCCAGTGTGGCTAGGTTGATTGGGCATTGGGCGTCGTCCCATGCACGAGGAGGTCATGGTTAGATTCCAATGGAGGCACATGCCCAGGTTTCAGACTCGGTCCCCAGGCGGGGGCATGCAGGAGGCAGCCGATTGATGCTTCTTGATTGATGTTTCTCTCTCATCGTTGTTTCTCTCTCTCCCCTTCCTCTCTCTGAAATCAATAAAAATATATTTAAAAGAAAGACTAGAGAAAATGATCTAATTATTCCTTATCTATCTATACTACATAGTTGTAACAAAAATAAGTGTAAGATATAGTCCCCAACAAAAAATAACTTGAATTCTAGTTTGGTAAACAAACATGATTTTTTAAAAAAGGAAACAAATAAAAAATGAGAGATTCAAGGGACATTATAACCAATGCAACCATGAACCTCAAATGGATCCAGGATTAATTTTTTTTTTTTTTTATCCTCACCCAAGGGACATTTTTCCATTTTTTATTCAGATAGAGAGGGTGGGGGAGAGGAGGAGAGAGAGAGAGAAACATCGACGAGAAAGGGACACATCGAGTGGTCGCCACCTGCACGACCCAACCAGGGCTGGGACAAACTGCAGCCAAGGTACATGCCCTTAGCAGGAACTGAACCCAGGTCTCTGTGGACCGCAGGCCCACACTCTAACCGCTGAGCCAAACTGGCCAGGGCAAGGATTAAATTTTTAAAAAACTAAACACATATTTAAAGGAAAACAAAAAATTTGAATATGGGTTACCCAGTACATGAATTATTGATAATATTCTTAGGAAGATTAATGATTATGTAAGAAAAAGGAGTAAAACGTCTTGATAGCTATGTCAACCTGTTTTCACAAATGTGACAAAGACAACTGTAGCAAAATGTTAATAATTGAGAAATTTAGGTGAAGAGTATACAGGATTTCACCTTATTCTTTCACTTCTCTCTGTTTAAATTAATCAAAATAAAAAGGGGGAAACATCAACTGATAAGTAAATGTTAGATATAACAAATGAGTATTCAAAGTAATAAATTATGGCTATATACTAGCAGGCTAAACTAGGAAAAATGTTCTATAATATATAATCTCACATAGTAAAAACATTTCCTGGGTCAATGTAACACTGAATATAATGAAGGCAACTGATATTGCTTGTTTATGCCACTTCCTTTTCTTCCTCCCAGTTCTACCTTTGATCTTCTTTTACTCAGTCCTTGCTGACCTTTTGTCCAAAGAAAAATGACTAAGCAAGAATGACATAAGTATGCTTATAAGTGGTTGCTTTTTCTCTCCTTCCTACATAAACATTTCTTTTTTTGTTTTGTTTTCTGACTAATATCATATTAAAGATCAAATATTAAATATTTGTTAATATTTTAAAAATTAACAAAGAAAATGCTGAGCAAATTATTTTCTTTCTCCTTTCAAAAAAGTAGGAGAAAAACATTTAAACAGTTTCATTTACTGAAGTTGATTCATTAGTACAAATTCCTACTACAGTTACTCCTATTCATACTACTGGGGTAACTAATAATCACATTTGAACCTTAGATGAAAGGTACACCTTTATTTTCTCATCTTCCTTTGAAAATTAATGATTTTTCATGGCAATTCAAGCTCATCCTTCTCAATTACCCACTGAAATGACAAAACAAATTTTAAAAGGAATTCAAGTTCACAGACAGCATAATTACAACTAGATGAACAATCCATGCATTTACTCTGACCTTTGCAGTGTAGTGAAGAAGGATATTACCAGGAAGGTCGGCCATGTCAGACTCTTGAAATTTCCAAGGGCTTAAACAGTTTGGACCTGAAAATTATTTATACACACACACACACATACACATCATTGAATAGATATGGCCTCTTCGGTTCTGTGTAATCAGAACAAAATTTAAAATTGAGCTGTTTCAAGCTACTCACAAAACACAGTTAAAACAAACTAGCCAAATGTACTTTATTTTTATATCACTCTCAATGCATTCGAAACCTAAAAAAGTTGGGGGGATGGATCAATCTCCATTACAGAAAGGAAGTTTATAAAACTAATATAAAATATAACAAACTTTATTAATTTATCTAATGTAAACTAATTCAAATCCACAAGACAAAATAGCAAAATAATTAATAATGTGAACAGATATCACAGAAATGGAATAACAAATGAGTAGAAAATAGTACTGACTTCACTAAAAAAAAAAAAAAAAAAATCAAAGAAATACAATTAAAACTGGATTGAGCCCAGCCGGTGTGGCTCAGTGGATTGAGTGACGTCCCATGGACTGAGAGGTTCTGGTTCGATTCTTGGTCAGGGCATAGACCCAGATTCAGACTTGATCCCCAGTAGAGGGGGTACAGGAGGCAGCCAAGTAATATATCCTCTCTCACATCAATGTTTCTATCTCTCTCTCTCCTCCTCTCTAAAAATCAATAAAAACTTATTTAAAAAAAAAAACTGGTTCCATTTTACATCAAAGAATGGAGAAAACAGTACTGACCATTCCAGCTTAATGAGGCTATGATGAATCTAGTATACTTATATATTACTGGTAGGGGTTGTCAACTGGTATATCCCTTTTGGAAGCTGATTGGGTAACATGTATTAAGAGCCATTACAATATTTACACCCTATGAATATTTATCCTGGCAGTTTATCATAAGAAAATCCATCAAATTATGAAAAAAAAACCCATAAAGTAAAACCGTTCATATCAATATTAAAGATTATAAATAGCCTAAGTAAATCATGCATTATGAATCCAATATATTATGAAGCCATTAAAAATTATCATTATGACCATATATAACAAAGAATTATTATCCATAAGAGTAGAATTATAAGTAAGGAAAACTATAAGAACAAAATCCTAACTCTAGAGCTATGATGATTACATTAAATGACTTATTATTAATTTGGAATTTATTTGGATTATAAAGCTCAACTCCAAATACTTTGGTGAGTTTTATAGTAATAAAAGGGTTCTAAACTTTGAACATTTGGACATTATCATTCATCTCAAAACACCCATAAAATATAAAAAAGAAATTTTGACAAAGGACAAGCTATTCTGCAGAGTTAATATACATGGCTACTTAAAAACTTAACTCCTGAACAATCTACTAAGATATAGATATAATAAATTTTGAAAATAATTATGACCCAATAATAATCTGTGTATATCTAAAATCATAGTAAAAGAAAAGAAAGGCCAAAAGAAAAACAGCTTGTAATTTTATCTAAGGACTCCTAATTCTACTGCCTTCGTGAGTTCTTCAGGTATATTAACACATAAATAATAAAAATGACAAGTTGGAAATAAAACTCATGATTTTAGAATTAGTCCCGCAATTTTTATGAAGATGGGCTGATATTTTGTTTCCTCGATTTATTAAAATCTTTCAAAAGTATTGTGGACTGAACTGCATACCCCTAAAATTCATACGTTGAAGGTAACTATATGTGTTAATATTATATTTGAGATTGACTTTCTTAACAACTTTCAAGTATATTATACAGTAGTATTAATATAGTGCACCATAGTCTTTTTGGTAGGCATAAATAGTAACTATATTTAAAGATAAGGACTTTAAAGAGGTAATTGAGGTTAACTGATGTCAGAAGAGTCAGGCCCTAATCCAACAGGGCCCCTTATAAAAAAGAGGAAAAGACACCAGAGATATTTCTCTTTGCATACATACAGAGAATAGACTTCATGTTAGGACACAGCCAAGAAGGCAGCCATCTACCAAGCCAGGAATAAAGGCCTCACCTGAAATCAAGCCTGATGGAAAATTGATCTTGAAATTCTACCTTTCAGAATTGTAATAGAATAGTGTTTAAGCCATCCAATGTGGATAGTTTGTTATAGCAGTTCTATCGAACTAATACTAGGCAGCTTTATGGATCATATTTGAAATATTTCTTAAAGTTTTGCTCTATTTATGCCTACCAAAAAGACTATGGTGCACTATATTAATACTACTGTATAATATACTTGAAAGTTGTTAAGAAAGTCAATCTCAAATATAATATTAACACATATAAAAATGGTTCTTATGAGGGGATGGAGGTGTTAACTATTATGGGAATCATTCTGCATCACATACATGTATCAAATCATCACACTGTATACCTTAAATGTACATGTTATATGTCAATAACATCTCAATAATACCAAGGGGGACAAAAGTATAGTGTGTGGTGGGGTTTATTTCCCCTTAAGCTTCAATGAAAACAAACACACTTTTCAGATTTAAGCAACTAAAAAAATAAGTTTAATTAAACAGTATGAATGTTAATATACTCACCTGCTAAATATAATGCCTTCACCTGAGGAGGCTGTAGTGCTTCATAGAAGATGATAACAGAGCCTAGCTGACCCTCCAGAGATGTGGGACATCCCCATTCACTGTCTTGGGTTCCCGCTGATATCAATTTGGTAATCAATTTTGATTTTTCAATTGTTCCTCCCCAGGAGGCTGATGACAGAATTCCACCAAATGATGTCCGATGAGGGGTAATGGGAGAAGAAAAAGGTGGATCTGGGATTTGGGATGGTGGAGGAGTGGTGGTTCTTTGCCCAGCTGAACCAATGCAGCAAGAAATAAAAGGCTAAAAATTAAGAAACAAATTATACAATTTTAATTAAATTCCTGTCCTCATATTTAAAATGAAACAGTACATAAAATTAAGCAAATAACTACATTTGCTGGATCATGATATGTGTATGCATGATTATGTGTATGATTATGTGTATAATAACATTACAGATGTTATTATCTTTGGCCTACTTGATTTGGATGCATTACTTTTATAACTCACTCTATATCTTTTAGCAAATTTTGAATTTTTTTTTTTTAATCCTCACCCAAGGACATTTTTCCATTTTTTGTTCAGGTAGAGTGGGAGGAAGAGAGAGAGAAAAACATCAACGTGAAAGGGACACATCAAGTGGTTGCCACCCACACGACCAACCAGGGCCGGGGACAAACTGCAATCGAGGTACGTGCCCTTAGCGGGAAACGAACCCAGGTCTCTCTGAACTGTAGGCCGACGCTCTAACCACTGAGCCAAAATGGCCAGGGCAAATTGAATTTTTAATGAATGTATATCAACAAAAAATTTTAACAACTTTACTATATTCCAAAATAGAGAAAACTTCTTTTCCCCCTTCAAATTTATAAACAGAGAATTATACACTAGTATAATAATGCTAATTATAGGTTATCCTGAAATGGTCATTGAGATAAACAGCAACAAGAAATTACTAGAATCCTAGGACTTGGGAAGTAGTCTAATCCATTCCATTACCTTCAGAAAAGGCCCTTTCAAAATTATCCAAATACTCTCAAAGAACTTTTACACTAATGTTCTTTCAGAGTCACCCTAGAAAATAAATTCTATTTTATACCTAACTATAATGTGAAGGCTTAAAGTTTCATTATTATTTCAAATTCAATGGAGAAGGAAACAAGTCCATCATAACAGTTTCTAAGTATTTCCTACACTTGGAGAGCTTTATTAAACGATCCTTTGCTCTGCTCCATTAATTTTCTTTGATTTTTCCTTTGGCTGTTGTCTTTTTTCCTAAGCCTTTAATTACATTTGTTTCTTCCTTGAGTTATTTTTCTTTATTACATGTTGTATGACTTCATCTAATGATGACAGGCTAACTGAATTAAATATTAACCTACTATATTTTAGTATATAGAAAACATTAAATTTATGGGCACATATTTAGAATAAAGAGAACCTTCTACATTAAATTGAAATTTTTTAAGAGCTCAATCAATCAGTCCTATAAAGAGTAGGTTAGATGTGCTTACTTCATTCATGGCAGGAAATCTGAGAGGGGCAGAGACCTTCTGCTGTCCATTGTCATAGATATAGACAAGGCTCTGACCAAAGGGCCTTTTTCCAGGCATGTGAACAATGGTTATGTTGTGCTGGTAAAGTAAAACATATGTAAAAGGTGAAAATAACATTACATTTTTGGAATGACAATGTTTTCAGAGTATTACTCTATAACTAGTCTGTATGAACAGCAGAACATTAAGTTTAAGCATAACTAAATGCTAATTAACATGACAATCTTAAAATGAATAACATTTTTTCTACAGTACAAAAGCACTTACGCATATTCTAGTAAATCTATACACATCTGTAACACAGTATCTTTTCTGCATTTCACAAATCTATGAGTATTCTTTAGAATCAATTTTTTTCTAATGAGAAACATTTTATATTTTAAGAAAAACAGAAATGCAGTTTTTAACAATTGATGTTCTCATTTTAAATTAGAATTCAAAATCAAATTTAATTCTAGAACACTTGAAAGAAATCATAACATTTCATTTTAATTTTTAAGCAGAACAATGATTATTGCTAAATTTACAGTGATAATGATAAATGGTATTAACCTCCTTTTAGATAAACTTGAACATGAATAGAAAGTGAAAATTAATCAACTCTCAGAAAGCAGATGAAAACACCTGGTATACATAAACCAAATGTGTGCTTTTTAAAGGAAAGAATCAAGAAGTTAAATGTGATGCCCTAAAGCCTTACCCAGAGGGAATCACAGAAACTGTGGTCAGGAAGCATAACTGTTGCATATTCTCTTTTCGTGCACACTGCCACAACCAACATACCTGAATGGGTAATAAAAGCTTCAAAACCCATGCCACTTCCTGTAAAAAAGCTAACAAAAATATATATCATCAGAACTTTTGAAGTCAATTATTCAGTTTTATCATCACTGAAACACACAAAATCATAATGTCATCATGAATATCTTTATCAAACACATTGTGGCTAACATTCTATTATAACATTCTATTATAACATTCTATTACAACCTTGTTTCAAAAATGATTTTTAAATCTTTTTTGGACATGAGAGTTTAGTAAATTATAAAAGGTAGTCTTTTAAGTGGAATTCCATTAGTAAACTATAGTAAAGCTATAAACTTTCAAATCTTAAAAAAATTTGCCCAAATAAGATTCAGAAAGTATGAATAAAGGTCTTTAATATCAAAGGCATATTAAAAACTATTACTGAAGTAACTAATTTTGGATGTATACATACAGGTTTTCTGGTCCTTCACATCACCATATAACACCTTTAATGGGACAGAGAGATTACCATTCAATTTCAAGTTTATTATTCCTCTTTCTCCATTTTTAAAATATTTTTAAGATGGAAACTGTTTTCAGCCCAGCTGGTGTGGCTCAGTGGTAGAGCATCAACCCACGCACCAAGAAGTCACCAGTTCAACTCTGGGTCAGGGCACATGCCCAGGTTGTGGGCCAAATCCCCAGTGGGGAGCATGCAGGAAGTAGTCAATCCATATTCTCTCTCATCGATGTTTCTATCTCTCCTCTCCCTTCCTCTCTAAAAATCAATAAAGATGGAACCTGTTTCCAATTGAACCTCAGACCTTAACTAGCAAAATACTTAAAATATACAATTAATATTATGAAAGCAACAAAGCACCTATAATTAAACTGTGTCCATTCTAAGGATGAAGAAGCTTCAGTTAACTTGTACATTTAAAAACTAGATGCTTGAGCTGCATTTCTGCTTTTGAACTCAACCATCTATATACCACTGTGGGGGAAAGGATTGCTGACACTTTTACTAAAGTTACCTGAGAAAAACTTTTTTAAATAAAAATTTCTTGGAAAAGCTTTTTCCTTTTTAAGAATCACAGCATATATTCTATGACAGTATTCACTTATATTTCATAAGTTGTACTAGTACCTGTACAACTGTTTTCTTTTTCCTCCTTTGTTAGCACTGCCAAGAGTCAACTGATCCTGATCTAAGCAAAACCAAGCATTGAAGGAAAAGGCAGACCCTGGCCATTTCTGTATGGAAGGCACAGAAATTCCTGCCATACTATGTGACAAATTGAAATATTGCAGTGCACTCTCTAGACTTTGTTTTCGGGCCATTGTCAGGATTGCTCGAGTCACAGAAGTAGTATAAGGATGAATATACTCAGATTCATCCACTCTCAGCAATCTTAGTAGTCGACGGATTTCTTCTGAGCTCACTGACTGACTCCCCAAGGAACCATGTAGAGCAATCAGATTCTCAGCACAAATTCGATGAAGGGAAGAATGGGAATCAAGAGTTTCAATGATTCTAATTCCCATGTTTGTATTGACACAAGTAGTTCGACTCTGTCTATTAATACAACAAATTCTTTTCAGCCAGTCAGAGATGAAGATCTGCATGTCTTGGGATTCTAGCTCAGGAAGCCACTGGATAAGAAGCAAGAGAGGCTGGACATTACTAATGCCCAAAATCCCAACTGAAGTGTGATCACCCTCTACAGCCTGTAAAGCAACATAAGAGATAAAGGTTAGTTATTATCTCTGATGTGGAGATAATAGAACTTCTTTTATTTAAGCTTAAAAACTCACCATATTCATAAGTTCTTTAAGTAGTTCCAATGATGGCTGACCCAAGGATTTTAATACTTCAAACATATGTGTATAACCAATTCTTTCTTTAAATACTTCCTAGGGGAGGGAAAATAAAAAAACATCAAAACACATGTTCAAAGATCAAATTTGCTGGAATATTTTTTAAAATATTGAATAATATCCATTTAAGCTAATTCACTTAAAAAGATTATGAGTTCAACATTTCTGTTTTTGCAAATCACATCTTCATCTTAAACTCCATATACCTTCTAGAATACAATGTTACAATAATCTACCAAAATGTACAATAATTAGCAATAGTTGTAGATTATAAAATAATTATATTTTATAGGTTAGATCACATGACACTTCCTTTACTTTCTTTACTTGATTTATAATTAGAGCAGTATTACATTAAGTCAAAACAAAAATGAAGAAAAAATAAAGAGAATTTGAGGGTAAAGGAGTCAAACATCAGCCTCAAAGGACTAACTAGAGTCCTGGCAATTTTGAGTAGTGGCCAAAAAAACCCACAAAACTGAGTAGTTTTCTCTCAACTTTTTGTATCTAAAGGGTCTGAATTAGCTGGAACACTGAGTTTATTTTAGTAAGATCTAAATCACATGTATTTTTAAACTATGAGACATAAACCTGTAAAATAAAATATAAAGACAACCAAAAACCCTTGCAACAATAAACTGGTCCAGTAAAGTAGGCAGAAATATTTGCACTCACTATAAAATCAAAAGATTTAAACAAAATGAGTAAGACGTTGTCTCTGAGGAGGTGAACTAGTCAACTGTGCATCAAAGGTAGAAAGGAAATCTTTTCAAAAGGTATTTTTAAATAATCTTTTTCATTTTAAGCCATGAAAGGCATTATACACTATAAAAAATGACACTGTAAAGAGCTTTGAATTTCATAATATAGTAACAAGCAATCCATTATATTCATAAGCCAAATTACTTAGAACGTAAAATGATATTTTCCCTTAAAGAAACTGTTATAAATGGAGATTGGATTCCCAAGCCAGTCTGTAACAGTTGTAAAAGACTATTCAGCAGGAATCTAACCAAGAGTTATATATAGCACCAACATATGGCAAAATTAATCTCCTAAAAAAATCAACAAAGAGTGAAATACAACTGAAGGTACGGCATGGAAAATAAAGAGTAACTCATTCATTTCTGGTACTAGAAAGGTAATCAAGGCATGAAACATATTAGAGGTGATGAATAAAAAGGTAAATGGTAATAATAGACAATAACATTTTAAGCACTTACCATGTTCCTGGCACTATGCTTACCACATTATATAGATTACCTCACTAATCCTTAAAACTACTCAATGAGGAACTACTAGCACAAAATCAGCATAAATGGACAGCAGGACAGAGTCAGTGGTAGTGAAACAAACGAGAAGGGAAAGAAAATCCTGAGGGTTAGTGACCATAACCAAAGAAACAGAATTTCCATGGCCATATGAAAAAACAAGTCCCGAATTGGTAGGGCTGTTGGCATGTGCAAAATGTTCATGTTCTCAGCAGTCAAAAACTGACCAAATAGTGAAAGAGTGATTATATTATTAATAAAGAAAAATTGGCATGGCCGGTTTGGCTCAGCAGTTAGAGCATCAGCCTGAGGTCCAGAGAGACCCAGGTTCCGTTGCAGTTTGTCCTCGATGTGTCCCTTTCACATTGATCTTTCTCTCTCTCTCTCTAACTCTCTCTCCCTCCACTCTATCTGAACAAAAAATGGAAAAATGTCCTCGGGTGAAGATAAAAAATAAATTAATTACAATAAATTAAAACAAAAAAAAAAAACAAAAAAAACTAAGATATAATTGTTTAAATGCACTACCATAAACTCACTTAAAATTTTTCAACATTTTGCCCTGACCGGTTTGGCTCAGCGGTTAGAGCATCGGCCCACGGACCAGAGAGACCCAGGTTCGGTTCCCACTAAGCCTTAGCGGCTAAGGGCATATACCTCAGTTGCAATTTGTCCCCGGTCCTGCTTGGGGTTGTGTGGGTGGCAACCAGTCGATGTGTCTCTCTCACACTGATGTCTCTCTCTCTCTCTCTCTCTTACCTCCTCTCCTTCCTGCTCTATCTGAAGAAAAATGCAAAAACTGCCCTGGGGTGAGGATTAAAAAAAAAAATTTTTTTTTCAACATTTAAAACCAGTGTTCTCTTCCCATTCGTTGACTGACACCGTAAATCCTTACTAGTCTGCAGTTTAGTCATCAACGTCTTAATCCCAAAGCAGTGTTCACAGGCATCTGTCTTTAAAATTATCACAAAAAATTATTCATATACTAAGATGAGATATTTTGTGAACTATTTCATTTCAGGCGTGAAACCGTATGCATTATGCACTTTCATACATAACTTTGGGAATTATATAATGAAAATTGGTAAATCTAAGATAACATTTTAGAGCTTAGAGATATGTTTTACCTTAGCAGCTGGAGATTTGTTCATTACTGCTGTCAAAGCCTGAATGGTTGATACAGCCAAACAATCCAACTGCCCCTGAAATGCCTACCAAAGGGGGGGAAAAAAGGGCAAGAAATTAACAAATGCAATCAAGATTTATATTAAGTTAGGAAACCTCTGTACTGAAAACCTGAAGAAAATAATTACTTGACATGCAATATATTCCTCTTCCAATAAAATGGATATTTGAAACACTATAGAACCTGCAAGAAAAATTACTTACTTGACAGAAAATAAGCCATGTGTCAAGAAGGATAGGGTTACATTCATTCATTACATTAAGATGTTTTGGGGGAGGGATGATCCACAAAACAACAAGCTTAATACATGCTTCTTTGTTTTTTTAATGGACAATCTCAAGAGGAAGGGAGGGAGGTCTATCATTGGAAATTCTATTATGATTTAATTTTCCTTAAAAATACACATGAACTTCCTGGGTTTAACTTTTATTAGCATGTATAATAAAATGTCTAAAATAGTCCTGCTTACTTAGTTTCCAAACCCTGAAATAGTATGTACATATACCAATCAATTAATCAACTTGCAAATAATAAAGTATATCTATTTTTACATAAAATGTAGAATATGAAGCAGAACAGATAATGAAATATGTATCTATAAGCATTGTCTTGTATTTGAGAAGGTAACCTTTAATGCCAAAAGTTATAAGAAAAAATAGAAAACAGCTCTGTTTTGTCTATTTCTGTTTAAGCTTCTTCATAAGAATGAGATGTGTTAAATTTCAGGTTAGTGCATTTATAGCAAAAAAAAACAAAAACAAATATAACCTCATCAATACTGAAAAAACCTGAACATTACATTATCAAGCTTAGTCAACCATGAAAGCATAACATAAGGACTAGAAAGTTATAAAAAGCAATAGTCCTGAAACTTTGTTTGGGGAAATACATTACTATGACTTGAAGCTAGTCACTCCAGATATAGGATTTCCCCCTCTCCCTCCCACTGAAAAAGATTTGAGAAAAAGGACACTGATTTGATCTTTGTTGTTTTAAGCCAACCTCTACCACTTTCAGGCAAGTTATTTAAGCTGTTATCTTGTTTTTTGTTGATGTTCTTTGTTTATTAAACATTACATATGTAACAAACATAATATGCATTAAACATTCTGCATACAGAACTTCATACAAATAATATGTTTCCTAGACTTTATCTAAGATGACTAGGCACCACAGTACCTAAAACTAGAAACACTAGTATAAATCTCTAGGAAGATGATAACTATTTTATTAATCTATAAGGCGTCCTTAAGAGGAACTAATACTTATAGAGAAATCTAAAACAGTACTCTAATTGATATTGCATATCCAGAATAGAAAATAATAAATTATTATGTCTCTTTCGATGCCACAACTCTATTTAAAAACTTGGAACATTAAGATAATGTTAATAGCCCTGGCCAGTTTGACTCAGCGGAAAGAGCACTGGCCCTTGGACCAAAGAGTTGCAGGTTCGATTCCAGTCAAGAGCACCTACCTCAGTTTTGGTTTGATCCCCAGCCCTAGTTGGGATCTTATGGGAGGCAACCAATTGATGTGTCTCTTTCACATCGATGTTTCTCTCTCTCTCCCTCCCTCCCGCTCTATCTGAAAATCAATGGAAAAATATCCTCAGGTGAGGAATAAAAAAAAAACAAAAACAAACAGATATACTCAGGTGGGGATTTAAAAAAAAAAGATAATGTTAATATGACATCATGTAAGCTCTTTCACAAACATTTTGGGAAAGAGAAAACAAAGCAATTTTGTTGGTGGTCTATTCAAACTAAATTACCTAATGTATTATAAAAAGCAACATAAATATTTTATTTCTACCCTATTCCCTTGTAGAGTTGAATATTTAGTAAAGAAAAAAGTTAACCCTTCTTTTAAATTAAGACTCAAAGAATTCAGCATCTTCTTCCCTTCCTCCAAGATTCAGATTGTCCATTGAATTATAATCATTATTTGTCAACAAGAAGCAAAGAATCAAGATATTAAAATTGACCATACATTTTCACAAACAAACCTCTAAAGTCCCAATACACCACAATGCTTAGAAAAGGAAGCCCCAAAAATAAGAAGTCACCACCAGGTGGACAGCATTGATACTGGGATTCCATTCCTGTACTTTATACCTCCTCACACTGAAAACACACACATACACAGATGGAATACTGTTAACCATTTATATTAACCACCAAGATTTTAATATATTTATCTTTTAGATTAAAAAATTAAAAATAAAAATTGCTCTTAACAATTTTCAAAAATAATTTATGAAGATTAAAATTAGATAATGTTTGTGTATTTTAACACAAAAGAAAAAAGTACAGGAATAGTTGCTCCCACTGACTGATTTTGGACTTCAGCTGAAACAAGATGCAGGCTTTGTAGATACCTGGTCCTCATTTATTTCTGTCAGTAATTTGTTGGCAAGGTCTTTCTCGTTCTTGTCTGCCACCTTATTGTTAGCATTTAAAAATAGCTGTTAAAAACAGAGACAAGAATAATGGAGAAAGAACATTGAATTGTTAACCTATAAGCAGAAATGAAGTTTAAATGGATTTCCATGTCTTGAAAATTAATCTAAGGATCCACTTGTGAAGTACACCACTTTTAAACTGACGATTAATTATTCGTTTTTTATAACAAACATTAGTTCACATACTATAATTATTATTTATTTCTCTCTTGGAATTCAAAGTTACTAAAATAAGAAACAGCAATAATTAGTTTATATTCCTAAATTCTTAAAGAATCAGCAGAGACTATCTCACAGAAAAAAACAACAACAATGTGCTACTGATACAGACTAAACTGTAGTAATAATATACAGTAAGAATTCTGCAGTTGCCCTAGCCAGTTTGACTTAGCAGTTAAAGTGTCGGCCTGTGGACCAAAGAGTGGTGGGTTCGATTCTAGTCAAGGACACGGTTGCAGTTCAGTTCCTGGCCCTGGTCAGGGTCATGCGGGAGGCAACGGATCCGATATGCCTCTGTCCCACTGATGTCTCTCTCTCTCTCCCCCCCGCCTCCCTCCCACTGTCTGAAGACAAATGGAAAAATATCCTCAGGTGAGGACTTAAAAAACAGAGTTCTGTAGTTAAGTATGTTTGTGGAATGCTATTAAACTAACTTTAAAAAGGGTTCTAGGTTCTTTACAGAAATATTTTTCAAAATCTCAAATATATTAATGTGTACTTTGACAAGAAAGGTCAACTTGCAGCTTTTTCCAAATATATCTGAACACACATTTTGTTAATTCTATAACAGTTTTCTCCATATACAAATCAACAGTTGTGGGAGTGGGGGGCTGGAAGATGGACGATTTGTAACCTTGTGTTAATGCAGTCTCACTATCTGGCCAGCCCAGGTGAATTGAGTGCTTCATTTGCATGTGAGTAAGATAAGGTTTGCATGGGTGGACTAATGGATCCTAGGACTCAAGATTGTCTGTCTGTTATTTTTTAGTTTCTTTTTTATCCTCACCCGAGGATATTTTTCCATTTTTTGTACAGATAGAGTGGGAGGGAGAGAGAGGAAGGGAGAGAGAGAGAGAAACATCGACGTGAAGGGACACATCGAGTGGCTGCCACCCGCACGACCAACCAGGGTCGGGGACAAACTGCAACCGAAGTACGTGCCCTTAGCGGGAACCGAACCGGGTATCTCCAGACCACAGGCCGACGCTCTAACCGCTGAGCCAAACTGGCCAGGGCTAGTTTCAAAGTCTCTTTCCACCATAAAAAGCAAGAGACAAAGCTAGGCTGTATTGTTTGCAGAGATGCCATCTCAAGGAAATAATTTACATAAATCCACTTGTAACCTGGGGGAACCAATCTGCAAATAAATGGGACTGGAGCATTTACTCCCTTACAAAGCTCCCCCTCATTCCAAGCAGCGTGTGCTTGTAGTTTCATTGCATTGCACCCATCCTGGCAGGCTGAGAGACGGCAAGTGGTGACCCCCACAACGTGACCAGGTACACAGCGGCAAGATTAGACATGACCAGCAACGTAACAGTATGCAAAAGGGAATTAGAGATCCTGATCCAAAGTAAACTTCACTCGAGAAAGCGTTTTCTCGAGCCAGCGATAACTGGCTTGGGACAGCTGCCCACATATCTAGTGTTGTGAGGTGTTTCCAGTAAGACAGCATGGGGTTGAGATTTTCTTAAGATCAGCAACTTTATGTGTGAGTCTTACAACAGCTGCTGAAAGCGGCTCAGTGCTCTGCATCGGAGTGGAAGCTCTTGCAACTTCTGAGGGACGTACAGGCGTTCTGCCCGTGGTTCCCTAGGGAGGGCACATTGGATTCTGACAGGTGATTCAAAGTAGGTAAGACTTTTAGGGTACACAAAGATTTAGGGTGTAAAATTTCCACCTTGACCCTTCTTTTTTGACGACTGCTATTTACAGCATTGCAGCAGCTGACTCAGGAGATCAGTCCCAGCAGCTGGCTCTCTAACCTACCCTTCGGAGGATACTCTGGAGCCAACCGCCCCCAAATGATCACCAAAGGAGGAAAGTTCCCCTCCCCCTCCTCCACTTTCGTGGAAAATTTCTTAGCCTCACCACGCACAACAATGGAGGGCTGTCTTATAGAGGCCAGAAAAGTAGGCGACCTTGGGGCTTTCCCAGCTATAATACGGCCAGGTCAACAACCTGTGCACGAATGTCTGCCCTATCAGGTTTTTAAAGAATTCAGGCAACGCATAAAGGAAAATGGTTTGCAAAGTTCCTTTACTATAGGAATGTGGGAGGGAATAGTTGGTAGTTATCTGATGACTCCCTGGGATTGAACTGCGCTAGTAAAAACTGTTGACGCTGGCCCAATTCGCCATGTGGAAATTCAAACAGAGGGTTGGAGACCTCCAAGCCTCCACAGAAAGAAGTGCTGGCCTGGGTCTTATCACCACCACAGAATTAACCCTTAAGGAGTCTGATGATATTTGTTTAGTTCCCACAGGAGTGTATGGCTCCTTGCCAGAGGGGAAAGTAGGTTTAGTGATTGGAAGGTCTAGTTTAACAATGAAAGGAATACAAGTGATGCCAGGGGTAATTGACTCAGATTTTGAAGGAGAAATTAAAGTAATGCTTAAGGCTGTGGGCTTTCATGTATTAACACTGGAACCCGAATAGCTCAACTCCTTTTGTTACCCTACTGGGTTCCTGGAGCCAACTTCACAAAAAGAGGGAATTTAGGGTTTGGGAGCACTGGTCAGTGTGATGTTTTCTGGACTGCGGCTATTGATACCAAAAAACCCTTGCTCTCTATTAATATACAAGGGCAACTATTTTCAGGATTAGTGGATTCAGGGGCAGACATTTCTATTATAACAACACGGGAATGGCCTAAAAAATGGCCTAAAGCCCCAGTACCTCTGATAGTAACCGGAGAGGGAAGAACTCAAGCTCCTCAACAAAGTACTCACTCCCTTTCCTGTACAGGTCCAGATGGACAAAAAGGATGGATTCAACCTTATGTCATGGAGTCTCCCCTAAATTTGTGGGGAAGGGATCTTCTTTCTCAATGGGGAATGGTTATTTAAACCCAGCCTTTTGGCTAGGTGTCACTGGTAAAATTCCCCTCCTTTCATTGGCCTGGAAAACAACAGTGCCAATATGGGTTGATCAGTGGCCCTTAAAAGGGAAAAAATTGTTACATGCAAACAGATTAGTTAAAAGAAGCAATTAGAAGCAGGTCATATAGAACCTTCAGTCAGTCCCTGGAACACTCCTATTTTTGTAATTCCTAAAAAAGGTGAAAAATGGGGATTACTACATGATTTGAGGGCAATCAATGCTATTATAAATCTAATAGCCAAAGGTAGAAAAAGAACACAAGAACTAAGAGAATATAACCCTCAGATTCTACATTTGCCTCTTACTCAGGAACAATTTACCACTTTCATTTTCCAGGCAACAGACTTTCAAATAGCTCTAGCAGATTTCATTGGAGAAATTAATTACTCTCTTCCAGCAAAAAACTTCTTGCAAAATATTCCTCAGTTACACCTTAACTTGGTTCAAAAAATCAGTAATACCCCATGACCTAGGGCTAGAACTATATTCATTGACAGATCAGGTAAATCTCACAAAGCAGGAGTAGCCTGCAAAAAAAATGAGAAATGGAAAAATAACAGCAGCCTTGACACTGGGTCAACTTAAGGTGCTAAATTGTTGGATACCACATTACCCTTTCAACATTTTAGAGAAGAGCCCTTAAATATAGTTAGTGATTCACAGTATGTAGTTAAAGTGTTACGAAGAATAGAACAAGCCTTTATTAAGCCTTTAACTGATCAATATCTATTAACCTTATTTTTGTCTCTCCAAGCTTTAAATAATCCTATTTTTATAACCCACATTCGATCTCATTCCACACTCCCCGGACCTTTAACACAAGGAATCAACAGGCAGATGCCATCGTAGCAACAACTCTTGCATTTCAGCAAGCACAGTGTTCATATGCCTTTTTTCACCAAAATGCTCGAGCACTCATGAAAACCTTTCATTTGACTCTCTTGCAAGCTCAAGATACTATTAAGGCTTGTCCAGATTGCCAACTTTCCAGAGGGACTCCAATATCAGCAGGCGTCAATCCTTGGGGTTTATCCCCTAATGCCTTACAGCAAACAGATGTAACACATATTCATCATTTGGTTGATTTCAATGGGTACATGTTACTACAGATACCCATTCCAATTTTCTATATGCAACCGCCGCTACCGGGGGAAAAGCCAAAGACGTTAAGCGTCACTGGCTGTCCTATTTTGCACATATGGGGGTGCCACTGGAAATTAAAACAGATAATGGGGCCAGCTTATATATCTGAAAGCACTGAATTATCTCTCCAACAATGGAGCATTAGCCATAAAACTCCTATAACCCTACAGGACAAGCTACTGTTGAATGTGCTCATGCTACTTTAAAATTATTAATTATAAAACAAAAAGGGAGGAGTATGGGTGAACCCCCTGTAAAACAGCTTTCTCAGGCAATCTATACCTTAAAATTTTAATCGAGATCGCTTTGGCTCTATAGCTGCAGAGTGACATGTTCAATAAAAGGCTTCTGCCACAGGGCCCAAACCTTTAGTCCGGTACAGAGATCCACAGCAAGGACCTGAATGGCAAGGTCCTGCAGAGTTACTGGCTTAGGGGCGGGGATATGCTTGTGTTTTATCCCCTACATGTCCCAAGTGGCTGGCGGCTCAGCGGCTAAAACCTTACCATAAACAAGGACCTGCCCTTAAACCTGACTCCTCAAATGATACAGCTGACCTTGGACACTAATCATAAAACTCGCACTCGGTCCTGAACTCAGTGACCTGGGCCCTAAGGCCAAATGACTCCATTTTTATCGTCAATGGACTTTCCATGATATTTTTCCAATAATAGGTTAATTACCCCTAGAAGTAAAGAAATTTTGCCTATGGTTATAGTTGCCCCACGTATTGGGAGGCTCCAGTGAGATTCCTGGTG